TATATATATATATATATATATATATATATATATTATTGTATAAATTATTTATGGATACTAATGTCTGATATGTTAGTGTTTTCACGGAAATATACGAAAGATGAAAACAAGGTGAGCAAAAACGAAATATTAAAACTAAATTGCATGAATATTTTAGCAAGTGCCTGAACAGTTACACACTGTAAATTTAATTCATTTAGCAATTTGAGCTACGAAGTGATCACTAAACCCTTTAGTCGAGATATATTTTAACACCTTTATACAATTTGTGTGCTTGAAACGCACGCTGTATTAACCTGTATTATATTTTATTCTAGTGGATGTGTCTTCAAACAACTCTTCCAACCTGTAATATGTATAACGTGCTATAACAGAGTGAAACTTCCACACGGAATGAAACTGAAGTCGAACGGATTTAAGTCACGTGACCTTATTGTAGGAATGGGAGGTTCCCGTGTTTCTTATGAATACTCTGTTATTGGTTGTCACTAAACGCTATTGGTCCAATGTGAAAAGAGGCATACAACGATTGGTAAATATACGATAAAGCTACTAATTTTAGGATAGTTAAGATTCAATTGAAATCATTGGCTGAAAAATGTTGGATGAATGATATAAAAAGCGTTTTCTAAGCTGAAGTTTTCACGAAAACAGCAACATTCTCAACATGAAAGTCCTCTTTGCAGCTCTTTTTGTGCTCGTAAGCCTGACGTTGGTGAAAGGCGACGCTATAGATAAAGCTTGGAAAAAGTTGTGTAGTAAGTTCATTTTCAAACATTATTGATGTATAAAATATTAAGCAATAGTATTATTAAAATAAGTGTTCTTGTTTCATGTCTGTACTTGATCAGTAGAAAAACAAAGCAAAAGAAAACTAGAATAAAATATTACTAAAGTAAAGCTATACACTTTTATACCCAATTATATTTTACGATCTATCATAAGGAGAAATACGATAAATATTTCCTTACGTTTAATCAAGTATTTTTAATTAAGCTGGTTCGTAACATGAGAAAAAATATCCTCTTTAGGCAAATCAAACATATTTTTATTTTATTCAGAGATTAATAAAGAGATGCCTGGAAAAATGAATGGGATAAAAGAGTGCAACAGAAAATTTGTGAGTGGAAAGTCAGAATTGGTAGGTATTTGTTGTATTAGGATTGGTTATTTTTCGTTAATTCACTGTAATTTTGGAAACAATGTGTTGATAACGTGAATCTGCTAACTTCAACCGATCTTCTAGTCTGTGAAAAATCCTCTTGATATACAAATTGTATTTAGAATTTCATTTATATTAAGGGTTAGTTTGATGAACTAAAAGAGGATGCCATAGTGTTTTAACACGATAATATTCAATTAAAATAGAAAAGTATTTTATTACCTTTTTTCATTTTCGTACTTTAATATCTGTAAAATTATTCATGCAACGTTAAGAATTTGAATTAGTATAGAAACAAAACACTTTGTATTTGTAACTGATATTTAATAAAACTTTAAGGCGGCAGAAAGAAGTCTTGTCATAAACAGAAGATTTTTTGATGAATATTTCTTCATATTGTCATATTTAAACAGATCTAGAACAATGTGATTTTAACTTCATTATATTTTAATTGTTTGACTTGTGTTTTCGTTCTCTGTCTTTATCTCAAAAAGATTGCATACTTTTAGTTTATAAGCAGTAGTTTATGTCTAAATAAACATAACAGGTTAAGTGCAAACAAGCAGGAACATATTTAAAACTATTTATAACACAATTTAGGACAAGTATATCGTTCCGAAAGACATTAGTGACTGTAAAAATTAATCGTGATTAGAAAGGTATAAGCAGTTGCCTTTTACATGTATTATGTCTACAAATAAATAAAATTTTAAAGAGGCTGTCAGATTTATAATAGTTATAAAATATAATCCTAATATAATTTATGAGTGATTTAAACTGATAGAGTGTAGAGTTTGTTTTCCAAAATAATGAGGACTGAAACGGACAAAAGATGGACCCGAACTCAGGGTTGAAGACACACCTAACTATAAGCTACGTCCAACTCCTCGAGTGACGTCATCCTTTAATTTTATTCTAAACGCTGTAGCTAAGTTGAATAAAATATGTATACTGTAAACAAATCATCTGTTGAATAAAATCTCATTGTCAAATAAAGAAAGTTTGATTATGCAAGTAGAGATTAAACATAGAATGATAAAATAGTTAATCATCACCTGTAAATCCGCTTTTCTTTCTTTACTGCACATTTCATTCACGAACTCGCCGAATGTGTCAGCAGGAAATATTTCGTTTTCACACTCTCGAACTGCACTTGGAAGCTGGAGATAAAAAATACTTTGTTATATCAACTTTATATTACATTCTAAAGCTTTTTGCTTTCATATAATTTAATTGTAAATTTAAATTTTAACCTTTTAATATTATATTCATGTATGAATATTATTTGACGTCTATGGGCTCAAAATGATTATTTAAACTAATAAGTTAACTAACTATACTCAATTAATAATTAGATTAAGGATAGATTCACCAATATAGAGCAAGGATAAACGTAGCACACAGAGCATTGCATGGAAGAACAAGAGCTGTGATTGGTTAGAAGTAGAATGTAAGTTTGATAATGGTTGGAGACGGCTTGAATAAATAATGAAGAAAAACTTTAATATAACTTTAACATAACAGCAAATGTACAACGTTTCGACAAGGTTTGTCATCGCAATGTAATACTTGAGCTGTGTCTTCTGAGGCGAATCAAACGTTATAAGTCCACAAGATGAGTCACCGACTGACTCATAGGTTGAACATGGAGATGTAAAATAAAATGAACTATGAACAACTGAAAATGGAAATATAATATGTACTTGAAATGATCTCAAGACTATTCTTGTGAACTTGCTTAAATAAAGATGAACACAAAAGCAACAATTAAAAAAGGATAAAACAGAGTGACAAGACTTAAAGAGGAAGTCTAAAATCCCAAAGTTCTTATTCTATATAGCTGACCAATTAGACGATATATGTAAATATCGCTGCTCCACGTGACAGTTTTATACAGCCCATATAGGGGAGACCGGGGCTAGTTGTATACAGCCCATATACACAGTAGGTGAAGTAGGACACAACAGAACTATCCCGTGGAACAGTAGGAATTGTTCATGACTGTATCCTGTATCTGTAAATATCGCTGCTCCACGTGACAGTTTATACAGCCCATATACACAGTAGGTGAAGTAGGACAACAACAGAACTATCCCATGGAACGA